CAATATCCTCTTCAGATAATTGAGAATATTATTCTTTGCTACTACCCCCCCAAATTGACTCACTATATTAAATAGTAGTTACAACGTGGAATTTAAAATGATCAGTCAAATCCATATGCATTATTTTGGGGGCTTTTTGTCCCAATCTCACATTTTTATAAGCCCTCATTTATGTATATGCATATATATGTCATATGTACATGTTGCATATATATATCACATATGTAAGTCATACACACACATACTTGTAGCAGGCACTGTCCTTAGGCTCTTTATAGATAACATCTGATTTAATTCTTAACAACAGCCTTGAGGCTCACAAAAGTAATCTCTCACTGTTTGCCAAAATCACACAAAAGTAGATGTTAGACCCAGAATATGAATCCAGTGTGCTCCTGACCCTATTAATCCTATTTCTTTTACTATGGACATAGTAATATTAGGAAGTGATGGTTATATTAAGCATATGTCATCAACTCCATTTTGCATATAAGGAAACAGGGATTTAGGTAAGCTAAATTCCTTACCTAAGATCACATACATTGTTAGAAGCTTAAACTGAGACGCTTTGACTAATGTTCTACAATTCAAGAAATCCACAACACATAATAAAGCCACATAACAGCTATGTAAAGCCCCATAAAAAGGGGGCTGCACTTTCTTTGTTCATTTGTGTTAGGAATAAAGTGGCTAGTGTAAATAGGAAGGGTTTTCATTTTCCTCAGACAATATATAGACAAATTGCATTTTTTGTTTACTGTTTTGGTTCAAAGTCATTGGATAAACCTTCAAATTTTAATAAGCACACAGCTGCACACAGAAACATACACATAGAAACTGGCACTTTAATCCTCAAAATTTTTTATTTAAAGAATTTAATAACAGCAAAAAATGTGTATCACACTCCAATTTCTTTTTATTGTTAATGAATCAAAATATACAAAACTTAAAACAACTACAAGAGGTTCATACATGTGCTACTGTCAGATCTTTGTAATTTGTTTTCTCTGGTAAAGTTAGCATTTCAGTCACAGCCCCTAAATAAAATCTGGTTTTATCCTGAGCTCTTGAACACATATTTTCTTGGGAAGTGTCTCTGATTCAGTTTCTAGAGTCTTTCTTGAGATAATTGTACATCTTCAAACCACCTAACCTTTCTCTGATGTGCAAGAGGACAATTTATGAAGTTATTGAAAATATTGAGTCATTTCTTTCACTTCAACCCTTTGAAGACACCACATTGCTAAGAACCTCCCAATTCTCTGTATGTATGTAATTCATGGTCCTCAATATTCAGGGAAACCAATAGTCTGCCTTCATTTCCCTGCACTGACTCACCCCCTCATTCACGGGCCACCCTGGTGGCTCACCATTTTCTCTGATGACCTTTCCAAGACACCCCTCCTATCCTTGTCCTCGCCTTATTCCACTGCCAGCTGGTCTTGTCTGCCTCAGTGAACATGACCTCAGAAACCTGCCCATGATCCCCTCTCTCTTTTCTGCACCTATAGGGAAAGATATCCATGCCCCTTTTATAATATGTATCTGCATCATTTGCTTGTGTGTCCTGGAGCAGGGGCTCTGTGATGGCAGAGATTATGTTCCTTGTCTTTACTTTTCTGACACTAAGATCAGGGCCTGACATGAAGAAGGCAGGTCTGTAAGAACTATTTGGTAAATGCTATGTTTACCAGGCCCATCAACTTCATAATGTTACATTCTGTCCAAAGTAAAGCTTCTTAGTTTAACAGAAAGAGTGAAACCTGGAGTCCAATCTCTGGTGTGCCAGATATAGGACCTTAGGTAAACTATTTAACCTTTCAGTATCTGTTTTCTGCAAAGTTTGGGAAAAGTAATGGTATATTGAAAACATAAAAAGTACCTGTTGTTGGTGGTGACATTTTGTAAGTGTTCAGTGAAGTATGGCTATTAATATAGCTAAGTTTGTTCCTGTGTCTCCCCATGGTCATATCCCAACTAAAGGTGTTTGCATGTATACACATACACTATATATATGTGTGTGTATATATATATATATATGTGTATATATATATATATATGGAGCTAACTGGAGACTAGAAAGACAGGTGGTTTCTTGTACATCTACAAATAACACTGACCCTGGTAAATCATTTTCTGAAAACAATTCTTTCGCAAAGTGAATGGTTTTGTTCGGTCTCATGTTGGTGTGTGGGTAGTTTAGGATGGGATGAACAATGTTACAGTCAAGGGGTTGGGGGTGGAAACTACTGCTTTCCTGCCTCCTCAGGTTTGTCAGACCAGTCGGAAGGGATGAGCTTGTCAGTTGCTGGTAGCAATTTTCTGACTGTATAGATCGTAGAAGGGGTTTGAGCCTATCCATTATTTCCTATTCCTGACCTCCCTCTGCCAGACTGCCAGACTAACTCCCTAACTTCCCTTGGGTTTTCTTTTTTAACAAGATGACCTTCTTTCCATTTAGCCAAGTACTAGGCTTGGGTCTAAAAAGGGAAAGAGTCCAGACAATTTGCATTTGAAATGAGGAAGTGAAAAAAAAAAGAAAAAGAGAAACATCAGCGAGGCAAAGCCAGCTGTTTCCTACAGACCTTTGACAGCTTTGCAGCGGTTCACTGTCCTTTTGCCCCCGTGGAAACCGGCTTCTGCCAGAGCCTTGACTGCCGCTGCTCCCGTGTGCCTCGCCTCCCCCGGCAGCTGTAACCTTACCATTACCACTTCCTCTCCAGGGTAAGAGGCTGAGAGGCGGTACATGTGCTCTGGGGCAACTTAACCGCCTACTCAGTTACAGTCAAAGCTTTACTTCTCTCACACTAGCCATAGGAGATGATACTTACCCAGTGAGAAAGACTGAATTATTGTCCTCATTTTGCAGATGAGGAAAGTGAGACTCAAGCCATGTGTCCAAGGCATTTTTCTGACTCTAAGGCCTATACTCTAAACCAGAGGATTCCAAAATGCCTTCCCATCAGTACAGTGCTGGTCAAAAACAGATTTCCAGGCAGTCAGCTTAGAGATCCTGACTGGGTGAAGGTGGAGTGGTGCCCAGTGATCTGTTTTGAATGGACATCTCTGATGAAGGCAGGATTTCAACCTTCACAGTGCTCTGCACCTTCACATACCCTGCTTGGCAAAGCCCTTGCTTGGCGTACGGTTCTGATGAATCACTGCTTCCTCTGGGTTCTCAGAGCACTCTATTCTCATGGGCAGTACAGCAGAAACCACACTGTGTTAAAATTCGCTGGTTTTAGGTCTGTCTCCCAGACTAGCTGGGGAGTTACTCAATATGTGGGATCCTCTTTCTTTTTGGCTACCTCTTCCTGAATTGCTCCTCCCATGGATCTTTTCATAGCTTGGTTCTCCTTATCATTTGGGCCTCAACTAAAAGTTTTCTCCACAGAGAAACCTTTTCAGGTACCCCCTGCTCTCTGAAAGTTCACATTATGCTACTTCATTTTTATGAAAAGGCAAAAATTGAAAATAGCATTCAGGGGTTTGTTTTGCATATGTTCCTAATAGGAGCAGCACACACCCAAAGCAGCACCACCAAGCTGCTTTCTCAGAACTACCTACGTTTGTCATCTCAGTTTCAAGCCACCATAGCTTTGAAATATGTCTGTGAGCCTCTGTGCTTTATCTCAATTTATTTTATGCATCTGTTAGCAGGGTGTGTCCTAAGTTATCAGAAGAGCCCAAAAGTTTATTTTTTGGGTCTGGGAGCTCCAAAAAAATTTCCATACAAATTAATGGTAATTGCTTCTTTGCTTTATGCCATTTAGCCTATAAAAGGTTTCATAGGAACGCTCTACTTTTGGATAGCAGGGACAAACTGTATTTCTTAGTATTTATCACAATATCACATGGGTCAGCAAGGCTCCAAATGGCAGAGTATCAAGAATATAGAAAATAAGAAAATAGTTTATGCAGGTCAGTCTTGTAAACTCCATAAGGATGACCAAAACAGCTGCAACCATCTCCTTCAAACTGGAAGTGGGCCTGAGAGAAACGCGAACATCTCATCTTTTTCCAACGTCTCAGACTTTGTAATTAAAATTTGACTTGCATTCTTCCTTAGACAAATTTTCCTGCACTGTGCAGTGTTTAAAGAAAGGATTCTTTTAATGTAATGTGTCACCCTTTACTGATATTCTTAATAAACTTTGGCAGAGATGTGGTTCAGAATGAAACTTTTCAGATGTAAATGCAGACATAGGTCCTGTAAAATCTTTAAAGAGAAGCAATGTGAGGAAAGCATGTCACTGTTATCTCTGAGGAGCTGTCCCTTTCCAGAACCTAAAATGGGTCAGCAAACTATTTCAACTCATGCTGATTCAAAATGAAAATGAGATGGTGAGGGTAGAAGAGGAATGGAGAAGTGAGAAGCTTAAGAAAATTGTAAGGGTGTTGAGGGATATATGGTCCAAAAAGGACATTTAGTAGAAATCAGGGGGACAGTTCTCTCTTCCAGATAAGGGCAGAAAGTTTGTTAAATAATCTTTTGCTGCAGCCTTCATCCATTTGCTCTCACTGTTGATGTATTTTCCTGTCTTATGGTTGAATTTTTGCAATAGCAGACAAATCAGTTTATCAACATATAGTGAGGTTAGTGCACTACTTAGAAATTTTGATATCATAGAATTTTAGAATTGTAGAAATTTTGGGAATCAGAAAATTAACCCTTTACATATGTAGGAATTAATTATGAAAGGTAGTTACATAGTTTATACAGGCAATTTATCCCATTATGGGACACCTGTGGTGTTAATTGTAATAGGCTAGATAAGTTCATAGCCCTTTAATGATATAGTTTGATCCAAAAGATAAAATTGAGACTAAATAGAGAAAAAAAGGAAGCAAAATGTGTCTAACAGAATCTCCTACCTGAAAATTAGGTCAGCAATCTTCATTTATAATTAGTTCTCAAAGTCAGCATTTTGATGAGACCATATGGAGTCCATGTTTATTTTCTGATGAGAGCCTCAGCTGATGACGTTCTATGCTATTAGTTGTATATGTAGGATGCTTTTGGGGCTATAAAGGAAAAATGTGACTGATTTCAATATTGAGTATATTTGAATATATTACACTTTGATATAATAAATGACATACTTTATGATGAATCCAGGGTTGGATAATTTAGCAGCTCATCCACATGATGAAGGATTCAGACCCTTTCTGTCTTCTTGCTGTGACTTCCTTCTAGGTTGGCTTTGTCCTCACATGAGTCTTCTACCATTTCAGGATGGATGCTGTGTCTCTAGACATGTTCAGACAGCTGGAAGGCGGAGAGAGACAGTGTGCTCACTTTCCTCATTTTTCTTTTGAAGAGCTAAAGGACAGCTTCTCCAAAGGTCATCCTCTCCCATCTCACTGAGGACAACTGTGTCTCATTCCTCATCTAGTTAACGACAAAGGCAGTGGTTACCATGGCTGGCTCACACCTATCTTGATTTACACCCCTGGGGCTAGGGGTAAGCCTGGCCTTCCTTACAGTTTATGGTCCACTGATTCCTGGAAATACTTGGGTTTCTATTGACAAGAATAGACCACAAAAAAGGGTGTAAGACCGACTGCCTCATAAAGAAGGCTGGGTTTTTTAACAGTCAGTGGTGTACAAAGAAGGGTTTATATCATCCTCAAAAAAAAAAAACAGGGAAATTTATTATTCACAGATTCTTTCAAATACTGAGATAGATGTTGTTTTTGTCATTTTGACTTCGGTTTGGATGTTTTTCTGGATAAAGTAAAAGAAGTCTAATTTCATTTTATTGCGTCCACTGCACAAACATGGTGTTTAAATACAGCTCTCTCGTGACTCCTAAGCCTCTTCCTCCCCCAGCTAAATTGCCCCAGTCTTCTCAGATCATTCCCCATGGTGTCCAAAGCCTTTACTATGCCTTTTCACTTCTCAACTAACTACAAGAAACTCCACTCCAGACCTCCCTCTGGAAAGCTTTTTCAAATTCCCCGTGGCCATCATGTGCTGCACCTTGTGGGCAGCCTCTCACGCTCCTTCTCCTGCCAGTTTACTGAACTCTGTGTGCCACTGGGTGCCAAGGGCATGTCAGGAGTCTCACTGAACCTTTGCAAGAACCCTATAGGACAGTTGTAATTTTATTTCAATTTCATAAGTGAAAAAATTGAGGCACAGAGATTAAGTAATCTTTTTAGGCTACACAGTGGTGAGCCCAGGATTCCAAACCGGATGATTAGACTCCAGAGTCCTGGCTCATAAGCACTTCGTTCTACAGCCTCGTATGCTCTTGTCGGTACCTGCAGGAATCTCCTTGCCCAGTGCCTGGCACATAGCAAACACTTCACAAGTGTTTGCTGAGTGACAGAATGGGGTGTGGTGTGACCCCATTATAACCCCATTTGTTCATTTCCTCCTGAAAATGGGATGTCCAGTATTGAAAACACTATTCCAAATGTTTTTGACCAGAAAAAAAAAATGGTATATATGAGAAGCCAAATAACGTCCCTCTATCCCTGCAAAGATGTTCACATCCTAATCCCCAGAAATTGTGAATATGTTACCTTACATTGCAGAAGAAATTCTGCTATGATTAAGTAAAGGATCTTGAGATGAGGAGATTACACTGGATTATCCACATGGTCCCAGTGTAATCACAAATTCCTTATAAGAGGGAGGCAGAAGGGTCAGAGTCAGAAAAGGACAGGGGTTGAGAAAAGCAGGAGTCACAGTCAGAGACAGAGATATGAAGAGCTGGCCTTGAAGACAGAGGAAGGACCATAAACCAAAGAGTGTGTGGCCTCTGGAAGCTGGAAAAGGCAAAGAAACAAATGCTGCCCATGGGCCCTGAGAAAGAACACAGCCATGCCCACCTCTTGATTTATTTAGGACTTCTGACTTCCAGAACTGTAAGAAAATTAATTTGCATTGTTTTAGGCAAATAAAGTATACTTTGCTGTAACAAAGTTTAGCAGCAAGAGGAAATTAATAAGCATAGATATTTTTCTTGGCTTGGTTATTACCTTTCTATCAATAACTCAGCCTGTCACTGTAGTCCTCTTGATCAGGCACATTGAGTTTTCAGACTGCAGATAGGTTAGTCTAAAACTATAGATTCTTTCCATTTTCATTTTAGTTTTCTTCCTTAAAATCTCTTAGTTGGCGTTTGTGCCTTCATGGTGCCCAGCCCTCTCAGCCTGTCACCACCATCTTAATACCTATTACTTGCTCTCCTTGATGTTGCCTTAGACATTTATCTCCAAAGAGCCTATTCACAAAAAAATTGCAAACTCCCCCACATCCTTGAGGCTGTCTACTTATCATAAAGGCTAACATACTACTTGTTTGGATGTAACCAGAATTTTCTGTTAATCTAAATTTCTAAAATATCTATCTATGGGAGAGGAAAAGAAGAGTTATTTCAAGTCAAATCAAAAAGCACCTCAACTTCAAAGTATTTTGAATCCTAACAATCAGTAATAGAAGGAGTTTCTGACTTCAAGTGAATAGATCATTGCATTTGGGACATGAAATATTTATTATTTTATGTAGATTTGCCCACGTACTTTAACTTGCATTTCATAAATAACTTGTCTTGTTATTCCTCCTGTGAAACAGGTATTACCTGTCTCACAGTACTTTAAGCATAATTTTAACTTGGGAAGTTGGTATATTTAATCCTCTAAATCATACTTCGTAAATCATGGTCCCTGGACCTGCAGCGTGAGCAACTTCTGGAAGCCTGTTAGGAATAAAAGTCCTCTGGCCTCACCCTTTCCCTACAGAATCAGAGACTGGGGTAGAGCCCAGTGATCTGCATTGGGAGCTAAACTGGGTGTCCAGGGTCAGAATATTAGACCTCTATAGACCTTTTTGGAGAAGTCATTCCCATCTCTGTAGCAAAGAATACTTGGGTAGAAAATTTCTTCTGGCAAATTTTGAGTACATGCATGCTTTATTTTAAGCAAAGAAAAGATAACACTATTTAAAGGAAAATCCTTAAGAAACAAAATAAGCAGGGAAGATTATTTTCTGCATAAAGCAAATCATAACTGTCATCTTCCCAGATACTCCCAGGAAGTTTTTCCTTATAGTTTCTACTATACTCTGTTTATGTCTACGTAAATACCCAGATTAATAGCATTTACCTACGTGTCTGCTGGTCTGGAAACATCATAAAGGAGGGAAATCTCTTTGTACACCACTCTTTTCTCTGAACCTAGCCAATGCATGACACATACAGAATCTCAGTAAGTACTTCTAGTCTGAATGCCTGTTTCCCTCATATCACTTCTCAAAGCAGGAACTCCAATGTCCAGAATTTTGTCTGATGCCCTGGATGCCACTGTGCTGCAGGTACAGTAGGCTCTAATTAAACATATAAATGAATAAATCAATAGTCATGATGAACATATCGAATTCCAGTCCCACTACTAACATAATCAATTCACATCTGGATATACTATACAGTTTTGCTGGAAATATGTACACATGGGTTGGCGTCAAAGGAATTTCTGTTGCACAAAGATTTTGGTATTTGACATTTAGACTGCATGAGCCACACACTTCTGTTGAGAGGGAGAAAAGCCAACTAGCAAAAAATGGAAAATTATTTCAGAAATAAACCTGAATTTTGACCAGAATTCATTTTATTATATCTGAACCAGAACACACAGTTTAAAATGACTAATCGTATTACATGTTTACATTATAAAATATTAAGAAATGATAACTATAGGGTTCCAAGAGCAATACAGTGATGATTTCATATTAAATCTGTCACTGTGAGTCTGCATGCAGTTGTTTTCTAAGTATATTTCTCATGAACTAAGTGACACTCATATCCAGTCTTTCATATTCACGGTTGATTTCATTAAAGGATCCCAGCCTTTGGTTTTCTAACTGGGTATACTGACAATTCCATCAATTTCATTGACGGCAATTTTGTTTCTTGTTTGGCTTTGAGAGATAGAGCAGTGGATTACAAGAGAATACTGAAGTCTCTCCAACAAAGACACGCTTATTTAAATTTGTCTAACCATTAAGCAAAGTTAAACACTGTTTCTTTATTTTTGTTTTTGTCTTATCTTTAGTATGCTAATATGTGTTGTGTGGTTTGGAGGTTGGGTTAGAACTCTAGGAATCCTTTGCTCTTGGAACTCAGATTAGCATCTCCCAAGTGCACATAGTTTGAGGAACGCTACTCAATTTAAAAGCAAGTATTTAGTTCATTGTGAAATAACATTCATAAAGAAAGGAACTAGGGAGGCCCTTAGGACACTGCATCATCTGTTTTTACATGTTTTTACATCCACTCCTGGATGAATTTTTATTTTTAAGGAAAGTAAGAAGAGCATAATTTCTATAGGGAGTAGTGGGGGAAGGGGGAAGAAATGTTAGGGTGATAGAAAATTGTAGGTTTAGTTTGCAAATTTTTAAAAAGAAAAAGACATAATTGGATTGCTGTTTTATCAAAATATGGAAACTTAGGAATTAAATTATATCTGTTCTCTTCAGTTAAATTTGTTTCTGTGTATGTCAGTCAGTTAAGGGATTTCTAAACAAAAGCACTAGATAGCTCTCCCTCTGCCAAATGAATATATGTGCCAGGGCTTTGGACCTATATGTACACAGGTTTGCATCTGGTTTTATTCCTGTTTTTGTTTTCTTCATACCATCTCAATAATATTTAAGTCCCAGGTTGTTACTATTAAATGTGATAATAAATGCAAAGCCCTTTCTTAGTGCTCTACAAATGTTACTTTCTGCTTCACCTGACTTCTCTGTCTAGGGCTTTTATTAAATTGGGGCTGCCATAGTCCACCTTGTGTTTTCAGATGACTATTAATAAGAATTTGTCTTAACCTCTTTATGTTCCTCTGTACCTCTGCTGTGAATATTTATCCCTCCTCCATGTCAATAAGGTAACCAAGCTTTGGCATTCTATTGGCTCATGACTTTTCTGTTACAGAGTAAACAAATACAAGTTACCAGATCCCTAGAAGACAATTCAACTTGTCCTACTTTTGTTTTCAGAAGCCTAAACTGATGGAGGCAGAGAAGGTGGAGTCCACTGTTTTGCTCTTGTGGGGTGGGAGTTTGAGGTAGGCCTAATGTTTCAGAGAGAAAGGGGAAAGAGGTCTAAGTGGTGTTTGTCCAAGACTGGGAAGTAAAAGAGTGAATGGTGGGTCCCTAGTATATTAGCACACAGAGAGCGGCTCTAGGTGATGGGCCTTTGGTGTGCTGAGTCAAGGAATCTCAGTGTGGGGTGGGTGCAATGCACACTGTGAGAGGGAGGCACAGGTGGAGTGGAGACAAAGGGCTCAGCAAGGTGACATTTGATGAGTCTTGCAGGACACCATTAATTATTAGAATATAAGCTCCAGGAAAGTAAGGACTTTTGTCTGTTTCCCCAGGATATTCCT